ACACTAACAGCACTTTTTAAAGGGGCAGGTGAAATTGTGACCTAAGAAAATGTACAGAGAACCTTCACGGCGCGCATAACGGAGATAAAACACCTCAATTATGGGAGCGCTTGAGGTTCCTAAACCTGTATTCCTGGAACGCAGGCGGGAGAGATACATGATTATATACACATGGAAAATCCTAGAGGGCTAGTACCGAACTTGCACACGAAAACACTCACTACGAAAGCAAAAGACTTGGCAGACGATGCAACATCCCCCAATGAAAAGCAGGGGTGTCACTGCACGTTAAGAGACCATACAATAAGTGTCAGGGGCCGAGATGGTTTCAACTGCCTCCCCGCCCTACTAAGGGGGATTACCACAGACCCCTGGCAGTCTTCAAGCTGGCACTGGACAAGCACCTATAGTCGGTTCCTGACCAGCCGGGCTGTGGCTCGTATGTTGGTTTGCGTGCAGCCAGCAGCAACAGCCTGGTTGATCAGGCTCTGATCCACCGGAGGGGCCCGGTCACAGACCGGGCGCGGGGCGTTGACCCCGGAACTCTCTCCAGGTATATCCAGATGTTCCAGTGATAGGACACAGAAACAAGGGGCCACAATTGGAAGTTGAAGACTCCTATGAGGCAAAGGGATGTTAGGAAGTATTTCTTCAATCATAGAGTTGTCAGGAAGTCATAGCCTAAAAAGTTCGCTCTCGCTTCCCCGGGGGTTGCCGGGCTCGTTCCCCCCCGGTGGGAAACATTGGGGTGTTTTTTTCCACCTGTTGTCTTTTTTCCCATCTGTAAAATGGGTCCAAAGGATTTATTCGACGGGTTGGGGTTCACTCCTGGGACCCGACCAAATTTTGCCCAAAATGTTAGTAACAAAGGGCTCCTATATAGTAGTTGTCAACGATTCGTAGGACGTATACCTTTTACATGTTTTTTGAAAATTAATAAATAAAAGATAGTTTTAAGACGAGTTTGATGAAGCTAGGGAGAGGGGGGGAGGACCTAGTAGCCGTCAGTGAAGAGGGGGGCCAGGAGCTGACTCTTGACCCCTGAAACCACATTGGTGAGTACAATTAGGGGTCACACACACACATAACACACACATCCCACACACACACACCACACCCCGCACACACACACGCAAACACCACACAACACCCCCACACCACACACACACAACCACACACACCACACACACACACAAACACCAACACACACACAAAACGTGCAGCTAGGGGGCCCCCTGGCAAAACCTAAAAAGCGTTCCGTATTAATAAGGAAAATCGTTCGAAATGTACACCGTGTCGTCGCCCATACTGGAGTATGCGCCCCTGTTGGAACCCGCACTTGATAAAGCAGTAAAAAACTAGGCAAGTAAAAAAGGTTTGCACAACGTTATTTCCCGAGTAAGGGGATGTTAATGAAGAAAGGAAAGGGAAATCGGCCTGCGACACTAGGGACAGGGGAGACATGATAACGAATATAAAATACTGCCGGAATGACAAAGGGGGACAAAGAAGGTTTCCGAGGGGACCGAAAAAAGGGTCACAATTGGAAATGAAGACACAGATGAGTCAGAGAGAATTTGAAGTATTTCTTCAGTCATAGAGTTGTAGGGTGGAAAGCCTAGGAAAAATTTGGTTTAGTAACGGGAAACCTAAATATTTTAAGACGAGGTATGATGAAACCCCATGGAGCGGGGGGAGAGAGAGGACCCAGTAGCAACGGTTGAAGAGGCGGGGGCCTGGAGCTAAAACTCGATCCCTGCAACCACAAATAGGTGAGTACAAATAGGTGAGTACCACACACACACACACACACACACTCACACACACACACACACACACACACACACACACACACACACACACACACACACACACACACACACATAACACCGAGCACGTCTCCGGAAACACGTCAATCAGATAACTGCAGATAACTTGCAAGTGTAAGTCCTTCATAAATGCTAAAATCATGGACAACTTACCTATCAGTACTAAGTAATAGCATAACATTAATTACTACTGGTTTAGGTTATATATTTTATTTTTTTCACAAGACAGCTGTAAGATAGAGTTTTACTTATATGAAATCTAGTGGACACTCACGTTAGCAATGTTGCCAGATTTATTAATAATTCACAAACAATGCTTTCAGTCATACTGGCAATGCAAATCAACTCAGTTGCCATATCCGATGCGCAACATAAATGAGCATAGCTGTCAAAAAGGCTTCACCCCAAAGCCTCTTTGTTAGGAATGTCCGGACGGGGAGACTCGGGAAGCAGAGGTCCAATTAAATGCTGTGAACAATACCTGAAGAATTTCCAACACCAATACACGGAAAAAGTCCTCCAGAAAGACATGGGTACAGAACTCTTTAGAAAAATTCCTTTTGACTACTGACGTAAAATATATCGTGTTCAACTTTAAAGGCAATGGTGTAAACATTTATTTGTAAAGTTGCAGCAATAGCATTTTCAGTACCCTTATCAATCTGATTGAGAAAGAATTTAGTAAAAATCTGTTTGTGTATGACAAGGAACACTTGTAGATATTATTCTTTGTAGATTCTTGGCTTACTGGAAATTACAAAACAAAATTAATTGGAAACGTCAAAATCTCATCGGTGGAAAAAAAACAAAATTAGTGATCAATGAATGAAAAAGAAAAGAGGATTGAAGAAAAAATATTGTTTGTCAGTAAGCAGAGGGGAAAAACCCGCATTTTGAGATCAGTGAAAAAAGCTAGAAAAAAATTTTGATTTAAAAAAGCTTCAAAATTTAAAAAAATAAAAAACTATCTTTAAAATAATTACACTAATCACACGGAAGGAAAATGTGTAAATTAAAAGGAAATTAACATATTCGTATTATGGAGAGATTTATAATGGAATGATGTCACAGAAATTTGCGTTAATAGTTTTTGTGGGGCAGAAATGACAATTATATCAGGAGAATCCTATAAAACTTTAGTGGGAGAAAAGATGAAGGAAAAAAATAAATGATATGCGCCCAAAGTGGGGGAACGGAGGATGTGGGACAATGGTAGACAGACATTATGTCACACCGACACCAGTCTCCCTAAAATTTATATTACACAGTTTAAATTTTTTTCCAAATAAACGTAAAAACTAAGTTTGTGGTAAGAACGGGTTTATAATTTGTTATGGTAAAAAAGTAACAGTCCCACTTAAAAAATTTAATCCTCACTAAAAATATTTGGCTTTAGTTATATAAAATTTTTTCTAGAACAAATATCCTAATGGGGGAAAAGTTTTTTAAAATTTTAACGTTACTGTCAGTTGTGCCCGTTTGTGGGAAAATTATAGCCCGATCAACACTGGTCCCGGGCCCTTAAATTAAAGTTTACACACGGCTCTACGTTATCTTTCCTAAACAGGACTACAGGGTAACGTTCAATATTATCGCTCCTTTGTATGCTCAGTGAGAGCTGGGAAAATGGTGTTTTCATCGAAAATTTTCTCAACATCGTCTACTTCTTCAGAGAGACTCGGGGACCCAGATGCTTGAATGGAGTTCAGATTATGCAGTGGGCTCCTGGATTGCCCAATTATTTCAGAGCCTTCTAATTCTAACGTATTTGATATTATTTTGGGTAACTTGCGGGAGGTTGCAGTATTTCTATTGTCTGCGGGTTGCTGCGTGTTGCTGCTCCTGGACCCGCGGGGATTCAGTAACTGGCTGGAGTCGGCTGTGCTGTTGCTGCAACAGAAAGGCTGGCTGTTTGCACAGATAGAGACGACCGAGGATTTGCGGCGGGCTGGACTTGGATATTGCAACAAGGTGGTCTGGACAGTAGATAAGCTACGGCTGCGGTGGGCCTCGCCACTGAGCACCCCTCGTGGGGCTCGACTCGCCCTTTTGCGGTCAATGGTACGTTTCAACAGAGCCTTCACCTAGGGCAGAAAAAGGGAAAGCTTTACTAGTTAAATTCACAAACGAGGAAAATGCTTTCTAAGTTTGTGCAGGAACAAACTCTTGCAACAATTCTCTCTGCTCCTGCATTACATCATTATTTGTTTCTTTATTTTCCTCAATTACTGAGATTAAGAAGACTCGAAAATAACAGCAGAGCTAATAAAATACTTACAGTACGTATCTTTTCTTATTTCCCTGTACTTGCTTGTCTCTACATGCCTGTCAGTACTTCTCTGTACTTTACTTAAATGTCTGTGCAGACTCACATGTATTCTTCCAAACCATACCACGGGCGGGATTGAACCCGCGGTCAGAGAGTCTCAAAACTCCAGACCGTCGCGTTAGCCACTGGACCAGCTAGCCACAATAAGATTCGTCCAACTAGGTATATTTCTACACCATAGGAAGGTTAGCATAGGCACCACTGTGACCACAAATGCAAGTTTTTACAGACGAATCTCCAGCTAGCGTGACCGTGACGAACTCTAGCTCAAGTCCCCTCAATGCCGTCAATCCCGTTCAATCCCGCCCGTGGTATGGTTTGTTTGCAATCGTGTCATTACGATTTCGTGAGTCATGTTGACGGCATGAGGGGACTTGAGCTAGAGTTCGTCACGGCCACGCAGCGGGATTGTCCGTAAAAGTCTCATTTGTCGGTCACAGTGGTGCCTATTCGCTAATTTTTCTCCATAGGAGGGTTATCATACCACTGTTGACACGAATCATTTTATGAGGCTAATGGTCCAGTGCGCTGCCCGACGAACTCTGGTTAGACCCTCTGCCGCAGTTCAATCCCGCCCGTGGTATGGTTTGTTTGCAATCGTGTCATTACGATTTCGTGAGTCATGTATTCTTCCAGTTTTACTTATTTACATATGTAATTATACTCGACTAGTTATACGTGTTATTCTTACCTCTGTACATATGCATCTGCGGCTATCAATCTCTACTTCACTATCTGTACTCATCTGTCTCTTACTATCTAACTGCTCTTATCTATGTGTACTTGCCTAACAGAACTTACCTATCATATACAAATATCTGCTCTGATGTGCATTTACCTATCTACACATGCATCCCTGTACTTATGCATGTGCTCTTACCAACTTGATCTTGTCCGTATTTATCTGTGCTAACTTGTCTGTACATACCTATCTGTGTTCACATGGATAAATAATCAGATTAACTGATCTGCCTATTTCGACCCCATTCTGGGATCATCCTCAGCAGGTACGCAAGTGAAAGGAGACCATGAATTTATAAGGAAAGCTGCACCTCTCACCGTGTAAGGGAATAGGGAGTGTCAGGTCAGCGTGTGGGAGGACACGTCAAGGAGTGAGTGAGATAACAGGTCCCGTAGGATAGCTTAATATTTGGGAAGGGAAGTATCATACACTTTCATAGCATAGGTATAGCATAGGCCTTTTTTGCTATTTATAGGCTAAAATTATTATATTTACAATCAAAATTTCAATCATTCCTAAGTTTTAGTGTGAAATTCATGTTACCACACCGTTTACTCAGTGATGTCAAAACACACAATGTATTGAACAATGTCACCACGCTATATACTCAACAGCGAACTACAGTGTGTGAAGATACTGAGGCAGCTAGTTAAGAGCAAGAGAGAAAGTACCTCGCCGTTGGTATAGCAGAAGATGATGGCCACAATTGCTCCAGTGCTGCCCTCAATCATGTTGTTGAAGATCTGATAGAGATCTTGCCAGTCGCATCCCAGCACTTGGTGACGGTAGATAGTAACGATGTATTGCAGCCCGAACAGCGGTACTACCATCATCGTTGCTCGCACTGCCTTCCTATTGGGGCAGACATGATAATTATTTACTACAGAAGAAAAACAAAACCGCTATCAGTGACTACCACCGCCTTCCTGCTGGGGGAGACATGGTAACTTTGTATTGTGGCAGAGCAGCAACAGCACCATCAGAGGGACTAGCACTGCCATCCTGTTGGGCAATACATAGTGAGTAACCGCAGCACTGCGGGTAGTGGGCCATTAATAGAATGAAATACCGATGTGTTGGTAAATGAAACAAATACAGTTATATTTTGGAATCTTAAGTGACGACGTTTCGCGCACGTATTTGGCTTTGTCAAGTTTGGCATACAAGAGATAATATAATAGCTAGTTGAAGCTTTCTGGCTAGAAGGTTAGCTAAAATATACAAGAAACCTTTGTTGTAGCTGAAGATGTTGAAGACACTCAGGAGTGCCCTTTCGCTTCACCTTCTCTGAATGTCTTTCTCTCTGGGAACAGTGCATTAAGTGGGTGCCTCTGGTAACTGCAGTTTATCCAACTGTTATAAAGCATTAATCCTGTATTTGTCGAACGCCGGAGTTTTTTTGGGGGGGGGGAAAGGGGGGGGGGTGCTGAACGTTTCGATGAAGTGAAAAGTGCATTTGATTGAATACTTGTGTAATAAATTCACATTTCTTGAAGAGGAATGTGAACTGTAAACCCCACTGTATATGTAGATTTACACACACACACACACACACACACGCACTCGCACACGCCACAACACGCAACACACACACACACACACACTACACACACACACACACACACACACACGCACACGCACACGCACACGCACACGCACACACGCACACACGCACACACACGCACACGCACACACACACACGCACACACACACACACGCACACACACGCGCACACACGCGCACACACACACACGCACACACACGCGCACACACACGCGCACACACACACACACACACACACACACACACACACACACAACACACACACACACACACACACACACACACACACACACATATATATATATATATATTATATATATTTATTATTATTATTATCATCACACTGGCCGATTCCCACAAGGCAGGGTGGCCCGAAAAAAAAAAACTTTCACCATCATTCACTCCATCACTGTCTTCCCAGAAGGGTGCTTTACACTACAGTTTTTAAACTGCAACATTAACACCCTCCTTCAGAGTGCAGGCACTGTACTTCCCATCTCCAGGACTCAAGTCCGGCCTGCCGGTTTCCTGAACCCCTTCATAAATGTTACTTTGCTCACACTGAAACAGCACTTCAAGTATTAAAAACCATTTGTCTTCATTCACTTCTATCAAACACGCTCACGCATGCTTGCTGGAAGTCCAAGCCCCTCGCACACAAAACCTCTTTACCCCCTCCCTCCAATCTTTCCTAGGCCGACCCTACCCCGCCTTCCTTCCACTACAGACTGATACACTCTTGAAGTCACTCTGTTTCGCTCCATTCTCTCTACATGTCCGAACCACTCAACAACCCTTCCTCAGCCCTCTGGACAACAGTTTTTGTAATTCCGCACCTCCTCTAACTTACAAACTACGAATTCTCTGCATTGTATTCACACCACACATTGCCCTCAGACATGACATCTCCACTGCCTCCAGCCTTCTCCTCGCTGCAACATTCATCACCCATGCTTCACACCCATATAAGAGCGTTGGTAAAAACTATACTCTCATACATTCTCCTCTTTGCCTCCAAGGACAAAGTTCTTTGTCTCCACAGACTCCTAAGTGCACCACTCACCCTTTTCCCCTCATCAGTTATATGATTCACCTCATCTTTCATAGACCCATCTGCTGACACGTCACTCCCAAATATCTGAATACATTCACCTCCTCCATACTCTCTCCTCAATCTGATATCCAATCTTTCATCACCTAATCTTTTTGTTATCCTCATAACCTTACTCTTTCCTGTATTCACTTTTAATTTTCTTCTTTGCACACTCTACCACATTCATCCACCAATCTCTGCAACTTCTCTTCAGAATCTCCCAAGAGCACAGGTGTCATCAGCAAAGAGCAACTGTGACAACTCCCACTTTATGTGTGATTCTTTATCTTTTAACTCCACGCCTCTTGCCAAGACCCTCGCATTTACTTATCTTACAACCCATCTATAAATATATTAAACAACCACGGTGACATCACACATCCTTGTCTAAGCCCTACTTTTACTGGGAAATAATTTCCCTCTTTCCTACATACTCTAACTTGAGCCTCACTATCCTCATAAAAACTCTTCACTGCTTTCAGTAACCTACCTCCTACACCATACACCTGCAACATCTGCCACATTGCCCCCCTATCCACCCTGTCATACGCCTTTTCCAAATCCATAAATGCCACAAAGACCTCTTTAGCCTTATCTAAATACTGTTCACTTATATGTTTCACTGTAAACACCTGGTCCACACAACCCCTACCTTTCTAAAGCTCCTTGTTCATCTGCTATCCTATTCTCCGTCTTACTCTTAATTCTTTCAATAATAACTCTAAATTACACTTTACCAGGTATACTCAACAGACTTATCCCCCTATAATTTTTGCACTCTCTTTTGTCCCCTTTGCCTTTATACAAAGGAACTATGCATGTTCTCTGCCAATCCCAAGGTACCTTACCCTTTCCTACATTTATTAAATAATTGCACCAACCCACTCCAAAACTATATCCCCACCTGTTTTTAAAACATTTCTATCTTTATCCCATCAATCCCGGCTGCCTTACCCCCTTTCATTTTACCTACTGCCTCACGAACTTCCCCCACACTCACAACTGGCTCTTCCTCACTCCTACAAGATGTTATTCCTCCTTGCCCTATACACGAAATCACAGCTTCCCTATCTTCATCAACATTTAACAATTCCTCAAAATATTCCCTCCATCTTCCCAATACCTCTAACTCTCCATTTAATAACTCTCCTCTCCTATTTTTAACTGACAAATCCATTTGTTCTCTAGGCTTCCTTAACTTGTTAATCTCACTCCAAAACAAAGCGAGTGGTGGAATGATGATGTAAAGAGAGTAGTAAGGGAGAAAAAGTTAGCATATGAGAAGTTTTTACAAAGTAGAAGCGATGCAAGGACGGAAGAGTATATGGAGAAAAAGAGAGAGGTTAAGAGAGCGGTGAAGCAATGTAAAAAGAGAGCAAATGAGAGAGTGGGTGAGATGTTATCAAAAAATTTTTGTTGAAATATATATATAATATAAATATATATATATTATATATATATATATATATATATATATATTTATTAAAATATATATATATATTTATATATATATATGTCGTGCCGAATATGTAAAACTGGTCAATTAACAAGAACTCATTAAAATTAAGTCCTTTCTAAAATTTTCTCTTATAAGTTTAAAGATATATTTTTTTTATTAATGTTAATGTAAAAATTAAATTTTTTGCAACAAAAGAATCTTAAAACTTACCTAACCTTATTATAACAAGAACAATTTATTTTAGCCTAACCCAACTATATATATTTTAGATTTGTTTACAATAATTTAATACTAAACAAACAGAATGAAATATATTTTTTTCGTTAGGTTAAGAATGATTTTGGGCCAAATTATTGCATACACAATTTCGCTTGCCCTAGGGCAAGATGAGCGTGCTATTTAAGCCAAGGATCGCAATTTTCTGCCTATTCGGCACGATATATATATATATATATATATATTTTATATATTATATTTTTATATATATATTATATATATATAATATATATATATATATATATTTGGGATGCATACCTATATGGCCTTAGAAAATATGCTATCACGACTCCCCTTTTAGTTCTATTAAAATGATGGAGGAACAAATGAAGTCAGACGCCTTGTAGGTTTTCCATATACACTGCATAATAGTTCATTCCTGCCAGCCTGGAGTAACATTGTCTAAGAATGGCCATTGTTATGGTCGGCTGCAAGGTGTTTATGGTGTTGAGGATGATATGAAAGTAGAGGCTCTTGGCCAAAATGAGCAAAATATCATCAACGTTGAGCTGCCAGGTGACCGAATCAAGGATGGCAGGCAGTATGTAATTAATAATACTATAATATAATAATATCTTTATTTCTCCAAGTACATGCACAAGGTATACAGGCTTAGCTGACACCAATGACATACTATATAGAAAGCCCCTTGTTATGTAAAGCATTTCGGGCAAATTAGGTCAATATTGTCCCAGGATGCGACCCACACCAGTCAACTAACTCCCAGGTATTTAATGTGAATTTAATGTGTGTACTCTGAACTGAATTGTGCAAGTACCCATTTTACTGATGGGTGAAGATAGACAACCGGTGTACAGAAACACGCCCAATTCAGGCAATACAGGGTATTACCTGAATTATTACAGGCAAGTAATTTGGGTGAGATAAATGGGATTTAAGTCACAGTAGGTTGCTGAACTGTAACTTCCTCGATGACCACTTCTTCACCACTCTCACACAAAGCTAGCCCTGATATTAATAAAACCAATACTAAAACCAGCTACTCTGGTAAATTAAAGTTGTGGATTGTATATGATTAGGCTTGCTGGGTACACAAAAGAAATAGGTATTAACACTTACCATTTAATTACTGGAAGACAACGCTGATGAAACAAATACTAACCTTACCCTAGCAGCTTCAATTTACGATGGCCAATACAAAAACTATTGTACATTATGAGTAAGCATCACTTAGCTGAGGTGTGCTCCTGGGAGAATTGGTGTTCTCTATTGTTCCGTCTTAGTTGCCGAATTGTAAGGATTTTCTACACTATCCCAATTCTTCAGCAGGAGACATTAACATGGGTTACTATTGCAAATTCAGGCCGAAAAAAAACCAACTGACCTTCGAGAACGCCTGGTTACATTGCACAATTCAGTTCAGAGTCCACACATTAAATTCACATTAAATACCTGGGAGTTAGTTGACTGGTGTGGGTCGCATTCTGGGACAAAACTGAC